CTCGATCTATGTACAGAAGCATGGACCGTCTTAGTGAAGCACGTGTTCATATTCCTTGGCCACGACAGATCCGGGAGAAAGTCCACAATTAATCCTGCACTTGTCAGACAGCACGTTCTATGGCAGTTGTTGAAACCTACCCTCACCCCAGACTATCAAGCCTAAACGAAAACTAGTCTACACAAAATCTTACAAGCCCGACCCCTGAACGGCCCAAACCTATGCAGCAACAAGCAACAAGGTTCAAGCTAAGCCCTGCCAGCCGTCAAACTAAGCGCCACAAGTAATGGCTCCGAACCTTGCTGAGCAAACGTGCCACCAACGGACCCTTACAAGACCCGAGCTTGCACACTCAGTCCTAAATCATGTAGACAGCAACCCTACAAGACTAGATCTCAAAATCCCAAGTCCTACAACATCCTGTTGAACCGTAAACCCTAAGCCCAAAGTCCTGCAAGTCTTCCTTGGATATCTTAAATCCGGAACCCAAGACCCTGCAAACCTCAAACCCGGAACCTCAAGTTTTTTAATCCTATGCCCTACCTTAACCCCCAAATAACCTACCTTTTTAGGGTTCCTTATTATGATCTTTTTATATAGGTCCTTAAAAAGGCAGGTTATTTGGGGTTAAGGTATAAGTCCCAAACCTCGAACTTTAAGCCGCAGTCCTGAGGCCTTAAGTTATAAGCACCTCCAAGCGTACATCCCCATCCCCGACCGCCACCAAACTTACATTCATATGCAGTGGTATACATGTACTAGGATCGACGCCAAGAGCCTAGATTAGGGCTCCAAAAATAAGCATAAAGATCTATCCTCACTGTTCAGGCCTATCCTCACGGTTCAGGCCTTACCCTACGGGTCCATGTGCTCATATAGTATATACATTGGCCTTAATGTAGTCCCTATATGGGTACTTTAGGGCCCATGTATATGCTATCTGAATACATGGACCCTTAGGGTTACTTATACCAGAGCTTTCCCCTGGGCCCCGGTTACCCAAATCATGGGCTACCGGTTTAGGGTTTAGGGTTTAGGGTTTAGGGTTTAGGGTTTAGGGGGGGCTACTGTACTATACCTTCCCCCAAGGGTCCGAAGGACCCAATAATCAGGTACTTAGGTTCGGATAGTAGTTATGTAGGTTACTATTTGGGAGACTCTTTGAGTATTAGGTACTTGGACCCTTAGGGTTCTCCACCCCGAAGGCACTATCAAGCCAAAAGGACTGCCGGTCCGCAGCAGCAGTGGAAGGCGCAAAACCACGAAGGGGCATGTATAAAAGCAGGTACAAAGATACTGGAACATGCTGTATGATGTTAGGCAGGGATATAATGCATGTCAAGTCTCAGTGTTAGTGTTTAGGCTTTAGGGTTTAGAGGAATATTTTGATAGCTTAAAGTGATCCGTCTGGATGGTGTCCTACATGGTTTGTTGGTTCGTTTTAGGGCCTGTGTAGGGCTTCTGTGGTTTGTTCTGTAAACATATGGCAATCGAAATATCTATGTTAATTAGTGGCACGTCTGTAGGAGAGGGATCCATACGGGAGCCATTTGTTAGCGGGCCAACCTTCAAGAGCTCATTCCTGAGCAACCACCCAGGACAAACCACAAACCGTAAAGATGCAGCCCACACGATTTAGGGTTTGGGGTTTAGGGGAGCTGGTCCAGCTCTTCCAGGTCGCCCTCAAGTCCTGCCGCCAATTGCTTCTCGATATTGCCTCTGGGTTGTTGGGTCTGCAACCACAATCAAGCCCCCGCAACCCGACTCGTGTAGCCCCCGCAACCCGACTCGTGTAAGTCACGATATGGGACTTCAGAAACTGCGGGAACCCCAAACCAACAAAAACACACGTAGTATAATCCTGAATCTGCGGATCCCGCCCCTCCGCCCCAGAGAATGGAACCTCTGGTCCATAGAGATCACATACTGCCTGTAGTCTCCATTGCAGTTCGTTTTGATGATGAACCATTTTATGGTTGGGATCTTGAAACAGAAAGTTGGTTAACCCGAAGAGCAGAAGAAGGAACTACAATGGAGACGACTACAGGTACTATGGCTCAGCCCTTATGGCTTATAAGGTGGACCCTATATATGAAAAGCCACCGAATGATCGAGGCTTAGCATCGCTGTGTACATCCGTACGTATGTGCGTTACAAAGAATGTGTATGTATGTATGTATGTATGTATGTATGTATGTGTGTGTGTATGTATGTATGTATGTATGTATGTATGTATGTATGTATGTATGTATGTATGTATGCAGGTATGTATGTGTAACATGAATGTATGTCTGTATGTATGTTTGTATGCTTGCATACATGTATGTATGTATGTATGTATGTATGTATGTATGTACGTATGTATGTGTGTATGTATGTTTGTATATATGTGTGTAGCATATCTTCTCGTATGTATGCATGCATGCATGCATGCATGCATGCATGCATGCATGCATGAATGTGTGTATGTATGTATGTAT